ATTTTGTCATTTTTAAGATAAGAAGTTAAGAAAGGCGACTTTATGTAGATGAAGGGNTCGATCAAATTATCTGAATTCGAAAAATTATGGAAATATATGAATTAATTTTATCATTTTTAAGATAAGAAGTTAAGAAAGGCGACTTTATGTAGATGAAGGGGGAAGTGTAAAAACGCTACCATGTATTTACGAATACTAACGTTTGTGAATAAATACACATTTTGTTTGAGATCCAAAAACGACCGTTGGAAAAAACACATTTTTGAGGATGGTGACGATTCCCTACCCCTCTGAGTCTCGCAAATCAAGTTTCATCAGCCGAGCAAGTACTACTCGTATCTCTAGAAATTTTGAATTAATAGTTTTCCCCGATACTTTTCCATATTTTTTAGTCTGAAAAATATGTACATACATATATATGGAGCTGAAACAATTTGTTTAACCAGTTTTTAAGGGGTCGTTTATCTCTTTTGTAGTTTTGCTGCAGCAGATAATTAAAAGTTTTATTTAGTTTCCGTTTCCGTTTCGCATTTTGNGGAATAAATACACATTTTGTTGGAGATGCAAAAACGACCGTTGGAAAAAACACATTTTTGAGGATGGTGACGATTCCCTACCCCTCTGAGTCTTGCAAATCAAGTTTCATCAGCCGAACAAGTACTACTCGTATCTCTAGAAATTTTGAATTAATAGTTTCCCCCGATACTTTTCCATATTTTTTAGTCTGAAACATAGGTACATACATATGTATGGAGCTGAAACAATTTGTTCTAACCAGTTTTTAAGGAGTCGTTTATCTTTTTTTTTGTAGTTTTGCTGTAGCAGATAATTAAAAGTTTTATTTAGTTTCCGTTTCCGTTTCGCATTTTGTATTTGTTTTGTCTTTAAGAACTAAAACTATATAACAATATCTTGAAGCAATGCTGTTCACAAACAATTACAATACAATATATATATTTTTTTGTTGTTGTTAAATAATCGTAATAATATTCAGTAATAATAATAGTGATAGATAATAGATCACTTAATTATACAGATTAAAGGTAGTTCAAACATATAAACACACAATCTGCAGTAAACGTACTAGGTATGTATGTCTGTATTTTCATGTATAAGTGTATGTATGTCTGTATAGTATATGGATATATGCACGAGTGTCTATTAATCGAAGCATTTGAATTGTATTTTGTGTTTGTTTTATTGTTAAGAGCCTTTTTCTTTATTTGATTAAAAATTACAAATTATTACAAGCACAATAGTTACATAGATATATATATATTTCACATAGTCGCATAATTTTTTCGTCGTCTGCATTTTTTTCGTACACACTGTGTGTTAGTAACGTTTCGCTTTAAATTTTTACAACTACATACATAGACATATTACTTAAATCAATTTACCAGTTTCCCGTTATACACTGCACTTGCCTTTTACATATCTTTTTATTTTAATTAACTCATTATTTTTTACGTGAATTTTTGTCTTTCATATCATTTGCTAGTCCTTAAGCTATAACTACACGCACAAATAACTGCTAATGCGCTCACCGCTTTNCAATATATATATTTTTGTTTTCTTGTTAAATAATCGTAATAATATTCAGTAATAATAATAGTGATAGATAATAGATCACTTAATTATACAGATTTAAGGTAATTCAAACATATAAACACATAATCTGCGGTAAACGTACTAGGTATGTATGTCTGTATTTTTATGTATAAGTGTATGTGTATCTGTATAGTATATGGATATATGCACGAGTGTCTATTAACCGAAGCATTTGAATTGTATTTTGTGTTTGTTTCTTAAGAGCCTTTTTCTTTATTTGATTAAAAATTACAAATTATTACAAGCACAATAGTTACATAGATATATATATTTCACATAGTCGCATAATTTTTTCGTCGTCTGCATTTTTTTCGTACACACTATGTGTTAGTAACGTTTCGCTTTAAATTTTTATAACTACATACATAGACATATTACTTAAATCAATTTACCAGTTTCCCGTTATACATATGTATATATTTTTGCATATTTCTCCACTGCACTTGCCTTTTACATATCTTTTTATTTTAATTAACTCATTATTTTTTACGTGAATTTTTGTCTTTCATATCATTTGCTAGTGTTCTTAAGCTATAACTACACGCACAAATAACTGCTAATGCGCTCACCGCTTTCAATCAAATGCTTGCTATGCATGCCAACCAAGCCGCTACTAAGTCATTTTAGTCATTTTTTTTATTGATTTCTCGTTTTTTCGTTATTTTTGCTATATAATACAAATATTTTACGGTTGAATGAACTTTTTTTTTTGTTAATTCGTTTTCGTTGCTATTACTATTTAGTTTAAGTTGTTGATTTATGTTTGTCTATGTTTTGTCCTCTATTTGTTTTAGTGTTATGCAGTTGAGTTGTGTNGTTGATTTATGTTTGTCTATTTTTTGTCCTCTATTTGTTTTAGTGTTATGCAGTTGAGTTGTGTGTCTTTGCATGTGTACGTGTGTGTGTGTGTGAGTGTAGACATGACCTATCTAATAAGCACCACCGCCGAATTGATTTGGATTGTAGAATTGTGGCACCTGAAAGGAAGAAGAGCAGATTAAAAAAAATATATTATTTTCGATACATAATTTTTTTATGTTAGTTTCTGTTGAAATGATATTATTCTTGTTATCTATTATGCACTTTTTNAAGAGAGCAAAAAATTTAGAAAGTTAAAAACATAAATTTAAAAAAAATATATTATTTTCGATACATAATTTTTTTATGTTATTTTCTGTTGAAATGATGTTATTCTTGTTATCTATTATGCACTTTTTTAGTTTTCATCAGTGTTACTANTTAAAAAAAATATATTATTTTCGATACATAATTTTTTTATGTTAGTTTCTGTTGAAATGATATTATTCTTGTTATCTATTATGCACTTTTTTAGTTTTCATCAGTGTTACTATTATTTTTTTCATTTATACATTTTTGAGTGTTTGTTTGTAATAAAATACATACACAAAGTTTATTTATTAGATACATTTTATTTTCGCAATTTTTTTAAATTCTTATTTTGGTTTGTTTGTAATTTTTTTGTATTTTTATTATTAATTTTTATTTTTTAATTGTTTTTTTTTTCTAATTATCACTTTGGTTTTTTTATAAGTCGTATTTTATTTTTTATAACAAATTTTTTATTTATTTTTTATTAACTATTTTCCTATTTTTCTTTTTATTTTATTTTATATCAATATTTTTATTTTAAAATTCCCTTTTTTCCTACATAAACTTTAATATAATAAAAAAATGTCTACTCACATCTTGTTGTGGCATTTGTTGTTGTTGCTGTTGCTGCTGATATGCGCCAGCATCATTATTATCCCCAGTAGCGGCCACTGGCCCTGGTCCCGGTATAAAAAAGCCACTTTGAGGTATTACAGCTGGCGGCAAAGCTGGTGCCAGTACATTCTCCGTCGCCTTCATGGGTGCACCTGAGGGATTGAACACATCAACGTAGGAGTTCTTCAAAGCTGCAATGAAAGTATGTAAAAATTAAAAATTACACTTCGCATACAAGTGTTTCCCAGCAATCACTTTAACACTCACTTCGATTGCGTTGCATTTTGAACATATTCGACTGCAAGCTGGGCGTTTTGCTCGCACCTGCAGTATCCGCGCCAGTCAGCGCATGCGCACTATAGCCGGAGATAGGCGCTGGTGAAGCAGAGGGCGCCGGTGCAGCTGCGGGTGTTGGCGCTGAAACAGCAGCATATTGATGAGTGTCGAGTAGTGGTGAAGGCTGCTGTGCTTGCATCGGTTGCGGTTGCTGTTGTTGTAGCTGCTGTTGCTGCGGGTATGGCTGTGCAACGGTAGGTACTGCCGCTGGTGGCGCATGCGCCACTATATCACTCATTTTTGGTGGCGGTTTAAAGCTTTCCTCGGCTGCTTCATCGCCATCCGTGTTCACCCAGCGCTTTTTCTCTGGATCCCAAACAATGCTGGGATTTTTGTCATCCGGCAAGATCATTTGATTTTTCGGCTTGAGTGAAAGTTTATTCCAAATGCCGCCGAACCAGCCGGAATTTTGATTGCCTTGCTGGGAACTGTGAAGGTCAGAAGAAATGGGTTGTGATAAGAAAAAATACTTCAGAGTCTCATCAAAAGCAAAAGTTGCAAAGCTCTGCGAAAACTCTCGGCAAAAAAATAAGCTATATAAAAGCACGAAAAGAGCAAAAATATTTAAACAACTTCGAATCGTTATTCAACTGTATGTCTTACATCGTGGAAGATTTGCCACAGGCCTTGAGCTTTCAAAAATTCTCAAACGATTCGATGAGTTTAGCTTTAAAGAGGCATTAAAAAGCTTAATCACTACATTTTTTTCCTTTTTGCTCTTTATAAAAGTACGATACTTTTAACTTAGAAGCTTTCGCATTATCTGCAAAGCTTTGTAGAGCTTTCGGTAGCTTTTGACCTATTTTAATATTTTATTCGTATTTATTTGTCCACCCACCTCTTATTCGCCTCCTTGCCGCCATCAATTTTACCCCGTTGCTGCTCACCCTTCCGGTTACCATCGTTGGCGCTACCCTTCTGCTGCTTATCATTATCTGAGTCATAGTTTTTCGACTTGGGCATGGATATGGCGGGGCGCGCATTCTAAAGGTTATTGACGAAGTGTAAATATTACATTTTTGTTAAGGAAATTAGATGTTCAAAGAAAAAAAACTGTACAAGTTTTAGCTGTAAAAGATCTGAAAAGCAGTTGTAAGTTATGAAAAGCTCAAGCCAGTTTTTGGCAAGCCAGAAAAGAAAAAAGTAAACTTAAATATTCTAATGGAGTTAGTAAGTAGTATTAATAGTCAAGGATAATAGCTTAAAGTGTAAAAGCTCCAAATTTTGTAAAGTTCAAAAGCTTGCATGGGCAGCTGAAGTATGCGCACAAGTTTTATCAAAGCGGCAAATGAACTTTAAGTCAATAATGCTGTTTATGTTGCTAGAAGTTTTCGACAGTCAGCTTGTACTCGTAGACAACAGGCAACGCAGGTGCTCCCAAAGCTTTCGAGTATGTATTACTTTTGTTGAATAAATTGTTTCAGTTTTAAATAATTTCGAACTCTTAAATATGAAAAATAGAATCGCTGATCTTCATGTTACAGTTGAGAAAGCTCCAAGGTAGCGTTCGCAGGAGCTTGCGCGGAGCTTTAATGCATAGCAGCTTACACAATGTCTGGTGTTTAGACTAATTGTTGCATGCAGTTTTTTCGCATAAGTTAAACTTTTTGTTACTAAAATATAATTTTTATAAATAAATATGCTTAGTACAAAATCGCTCGATTAAAATTCATGATTTTTTTTATTCAGCTTTAATTTACAAGAAAAACAATTCATGTCAGCACATTTTTTTGTGTTTGGTTTTTTGTGTGTCGCTTTGCTTACAATTAGCACAATACTTTACAATTTCAGTTTTTAAAATTTTTGTATTGATGTTTAATGAAAAAATAAGTTCCTTAAAGACAAAACAAATACTTTCTGCTAGCGAAAACTTGTTGATTTTTTGTCTCGTGTTATTTATTATATCAAAAAAGGGCTCGCCACGCTTAAGAGGCATTGTCTTCTCAATGCCATTACATTTTTAGAGGTATAAAAAATAAATAACTAAAGTTATTGGGGCCAAAATGTGTTTACGGAATTTCGTAGCCAATTGGACGAAAACATAAAATAATATTAGAAAACATCATAAAAAATTATGTGATAAATGTATAAAAAAAATTAAAAAAAGTTAATAGATATTCCAAATTTATTTTTTTGTTTTTTTAATTATTTGAAATGTTCAAAACATATCTGCACATTTCAAACAGAAACGCAATATAAATTTAAAACATCAAAATCTCACAAACTAAATAAAAAAAAAAAAAAATATTTTTAATACATCTTTGTAAAATACTTCTATGGAAAAAATATGGGTAGATTCGCTCAAATTGTTACCATAACGAAATTCACCTAAAAATGTTTTTATTTGTTAATACGAAAACGTGTTGGTGAAAATATGAATTTTTTTAATTGCAAAAATAATTTCTTAAATACAAATTTTCAAAACTTTAGATTTAGTCTTTTCTACAGATTTTGTATGTGATTCAAAATGTTAAAAATTTGCACTATAATAAAAACAAAAAAAAAATTTGTTTCTTGTCAAACTAAAGTGTATCGGGTTTTTCAATTTGAAAATTCGAATGCCGCATTTCCACCGGTCATTAAATTACAGTAATTTTAATGACAAAGTTGGACGTTAAAAATACCTGCGTCATTAATTTTACAAAAAATGGTCATTAATTTCGTTTCCACACGGCATTTTTTTTTTACTTTCGTCACCTTCAGTGCAGAGGCTCAATTTGGCCAATTTGGAATTTTACAAAAGCCAAAAAAATAAATATTTTTAATTAATGTACATACATAAAATGTTCTAAATATGCCAGTATGACCAAGATGTAGAGCGAAGGAGGAAGCGCATTCAGCAGTCCCGCTACTTTTTTCGAGGCGAGTTTGACAGAATCCCCTGTTTCATTACGTTGAAAATTGTTTTTTGGAATTTTTTGAAAATATTTGGGAAATTTTCATTTTTGCGCAAGAATGGGAATAGGTTTAAAATTTTCAGTCTTAATTTTCATGGAAACTCATTCTCGTTTAAAATCTCAACATATAAAAAAGAAAGAAATTACCTGGCAGATTTAAAAAAAAAAATATATTTATGTTGGGAGCCAGAGAAAAATAATTTCTTATACCAAATTTCCATCAGGCATTAAAATGACCAAAATCACAATAACTGTTTACCATATAAACAAAGGCATGTGAAAACCGATTGGTAAAGCTAACTTTTTCATTGAAATTTTTGTCATTTAACACCCAGTGGAAATACGTCATTAGGAAATGATACATTTTTTTTGGTCTGAAATTAAATATTTTAAATCAAGGGAGTGGTTTCTTAATTTGTTTTAGGTTTATTATTGTACCAGAATCAAAGAGTGCTTATGAACCCTCCAAAAAAAAGTTTTTTTACATTTTTGTACTCTTAAGATGAGTTCATATTTTGAGTAACAATTCGAGCGACGGATAAATGGTGCGTATGAATTCTCATAAAAAAAATTAAATTCGATATTTTTATATTGTTTATCTAACCAATTCATTTCCACCAAGCCTTAACTGCAGTTTATAACTATTGGAAAAAGGAGATTACAACTCGAAGGGGGTAATTGCTTATGAAAAGTACAAGCAAACAAAAGACAAAAAGCAAAAAGATAAGAAATAAGCTGCAGTTAAGCTTTTGGTGCAAATGGGTTATAATATACTGTGAGATACATACATTTTCGAGTTTTTCGAATTCGAGTCTGAATTAAATATAGGGAGTTATGTATTCCTGATACACAAAGGTAAAATACAGGTAAAATATGTAGTTTCTAATACACACAGTAAACATATAACATATCTATACATACATACATACATATGATGCGAATTAAAAACAACGAAACTTCCCAATGCAGTATTCCGAACGACATTATTTTAAGAATTGCCATTTTTACAAATAAAAATGTTTTGTTAAGAAAGCAGTAAGGTGTACAGTAAAATTCTCTACACACTTCTAATAAAATTCCAACTAAGGGGTATGCGTACAATTTTTTTGTACGACGACTAAATCGCTAAATCTCTGCCCTCATTTTGCCCTCATTTTGCCCCTTAAATATGTTTCTTTTCGTGCGCCTCTCCAATCGGCCCATCCACATCGAAAGTACGCACTGGCTGCTGCTGCGTCTTCCGTTGCTCAATCGATTTCGAGTCCAGGTACTTTTCGAATGACGTCAAACTTTGCTCAACTTCATGGCACATCTTCTCATAGTTTAGCGGTATTGATGGATTGGCAATAAGCTCCTGCATAGACCATACTGCATGATGTTTGCTAGTGGAAACAGTATCACCACCACGGCCGGCGGTGCCGCCGCTGCTGCTAGCCAACGACACGCTACTCGCCTCTTTGATGATACCCAGTCGGCTGAAGAAGCTTCGCTGCGGGCGCTCTTGTTGAGCAATCAACTCTTCCAAATCATATGGTATGCCCTCTACATCCCCATCTAGATCATCAACCAGGAGGTCATCATCATCCTCATCGAAATCCTCGTCCTCATCTTCTTCTGCCACATCGCCGAGTATATCGCATTCATCCAAATCATAGTCGTTCAGCATGTGCGCATACTTGCAACGCGCCGTTTCAGCATTCGCTTCGGGATCATAGTCGCGGCCCAACGCTTGGAAACGCGACTGCAGGGGCATATCGATGGGATAGGTGCCGTTGTAGACGATTTGTTTGTACGGTGATGTGTGGAAGCGATGAGATGCGGCTCTGCCACTACTTAAGCTATTGCCTTTAGAAGCATGCCTGCTGCACGACGGCAGTGAAAGAGGTTTGCTGGAAGTGTCGGTGTTTCTTGATGGATAGCTGGTGAGCGCTTTGTTGGATTGTGATGCAACACAGCCTTTGTTGGAAGCGTCTTGAGTGTCTCCACTTTCAGTTATCACCGCAGCTGCGACCGCCTTGGCGTGCGCTACTGCGACTTCGGCCCTACTACTACCACTGCTACAGCTCCCGCTACTACTACTATTTCTACTACTACAACTAGCTTTAGTACTAAAATTGGCAACACTACCACCGGTAGGTGATGGTGGTGGTGGCAATTTCTTACTGGGCCCCTCTACCCTCTCCGCCACCACTTCCACCTCCTGCGGCAGATTGAAATTGACCCGCTTTACTATACCGCTCCCGTTCGAATGCGAATTCGGGTTTGTGCTTAAATTTCTATTTGACTTTTCATTAAATGCATTTATTTTTTGTGCAAGCGTTTGTTGCTGCTCTAGCAGTTTATTTGGCATTTTTGGCAAGACCTGATTTTTTTGCTGTTGCTGCTGCTGCTGTTGGTGCTGAAGTTGCTGTTGCGGTAGCAAAACATTACTTTGTTTACTTACATCTGGCGGCGAACTTAGAAAAGATGTAGCCAGTTTCGCTGAGTGTTGTTGCTTTTGTTGCTCCTTGTTGTTCTTGTAATTGGTGTTAAGCTTCTTTGCCACACGCGTCTGCGGACCATCATAACTGTTATATAATTTGGCTGCTGCAGCGGTTATTTTCAACGGTTGTTGTTGCTGCAACTTGCTGCCACTCTCCAAAGTGGTTGTGTATGTCTTTGCTGTTGATCTTGCCTTGGCAGGCGCTTGTTTCAATGTTAATACATCATTTGATTTTAAATTTTGTTCAACACTTTTAGCGGAGTCTTCTGGAGATGGCGTTTCTGCTGGTTCTGTTCCTGCTAACACTAGTTCATTAGCGTTATCATCATTTGTAGAGTACTGCAGTGGCGATATTTCCATCAAATCCAGTAAAATTTATGGTAAGCATGTGTACAAATTGGTAGGATTGTGGTAAATTCATGAGAAAGGTAAATAAATTTTGAAGCAATACCCAGCTGGCCAAATAAAAGTATAAAGTATAATAGGAAGATGATTACTAACTTTCCAAAGTTGTTGTCTGTCGCTTTTTGAAAGCGATACAAGTTTAGAAATTCTTTAAAAAAAAGCTATTGAAAATTGTGCTACATAATTTAGATATACATACATTTGTATGTAGGTTTAATATACTAATAGAAACTATTAAGTGAGGGAGAGAAAATACTGTAAAAAAACCGAAATTACAACGCCACAAGATTCCCCATGGCATTCCAAAATGTCTTCAAAGTCGCCAAGTTTTCAATTGATGGCCCTAATTTAGAAACTCTACATGAAAGTCTACACGGCTTTTTCGAAAGTCTCCAAAATGTAAATGCATTAAAATAACACTAGAACCTCCAAAACTAATTTTTACTGGGAATAAAAACTCTACAAAAAAGTGTCCAAAACATGATTTCAATTATAGAAACTTACACATAAATACGTATCCAATAATTCCAAAATCCTCTGAATGTTTTAGAAGCTTTTAGTACAATCAGTCGACAAATTAACGGCAATAAGTAGTAATTTCTTGTTTACCAACTTTTGCAAAAATTAAGACACTGTATCTTCGCACCACAGCATTTGTTTTATTTTTCCTTAACACTTTTATTTGGCCATTTTGGTATTTTCAGTAGCTGCCAAACATAGCCTTTCATCTCCACGCCGTGCGAAAGCTATATAAATATTTGTGTATCTATGCGCAATTTGGAAAATGCAAGCCAGGAACATTTTCTCAGACATATCAACAAATTTTCTTCATACATATTTTTTCATAAATCTGCCCTTTTTTGTTTATCCCCTCACCATACAGTAACTACCCCAAATCCAGAAGGATCCACTCAATGCAATATTCGCACATTCGCACGCTCTCCACTTACCTCATCACCATAACCAACATGTTGTTGCTGTTGCTGTTGTGCCCAGTAGTCATAGGCTCCAGCATTATTTTGCGCTGCCATTGATTCAGCGCCATAACCTTGATAATGTTGCTGTGGTTGTGGTTGTTGTTGCTGTGTAGGATCATAGTATGGGATTGAGTGTGATTGTTGTTGCTGTAAATCTGGTTGCATATATTGTTGTTGCTGCTGATTGTAGTAAGCATAGGCATCGCTGGCATCAACCGACTTTTGCGCAGCGACATCTGAGTATGGTGGAGGAGCTTGCTGATCTGCGCTCCCTTGAAGGTTGTTGTAATCGGCCGTAGCTACTGCTGATTGTTGTGGCTGTTGATTATAGGGATCAGCTTTCAAATCATGAAGTGGTTGTGGCTGTGGCTGTTGCTGTTGTGTATCTGGATTATAGAAAGCAGGCGGTTGTTCGGCATTGCTGATACTATTATATTGCATATTCAGCTCATTAAATTGTTTATTTATCTCCGCAAATTGTTGATCAATTAGACTCTGCGTCTCAGTACTTTGTACATAGCCAGGTGCAGCAGGGCTGGGGTATTCAATCTGAAAGGAAAAATTTTTACTTTAAATATAGAAATCTAAAAAATAGATTTGTTCTGTGCAAAGTTTAAAATTTGCTTTATTTAAACTTTAAGTGAGCTGAATTAGTTGTTACACGTTCTAAGTGCATATTTACCATTTTAGCAGCGCTGAATAACTTATTAGGCAAGCAATTTTCACTTTAAAGGCGCTGAATACTGATTAGCGACTGTCAATGCCCCAAATATGGTTCAAAATCGACGCTGAATAGTACTTTTTAGAACTTGTGACATTGAAAATACATACCAAGGTTTTGGTAGTGTGCTGAATAGGCGCCAGATATTTTATGAAATGATACTTGGCTACTAAAAATCACACTTAATACGCAAAAGATATCACATTATTTTTGCAAGAATTAACTAAAAAATAGTTTGCATAACTGAAGCGCTGAATAATTTAAAGAGCTAGATTTTGCGTGCCATATTACTATTATAAACCAATGGAAAATGAATAATAAATGTGTATACACATGCCTGTTTGTGCTTAAAGTATTCCAACAGCTCACTGCAATTTCATGCTGAATAGCTAAAAGCATTGATTGTCCGGGCTGTTAAACAATCAAGCTGTCACTTACGCATTTAATATATGTATGTAATTGTTGAATTTATGATTTCAATAAAAAGTGGCTTATAAAAATTTCGTAGATAAAAATTTGTTGTTAAGTGTGCAAAGAGTATGAAAAATCGGAAGGGATTTAAAATAAATTAGCGCAGAATTATTGATATACCAAAAAGAAAATTATTAGGTAGTTAAAGCTCAATTCCGGAAAGCTGCATCACTTTTATGGTATTATTGGCATATTATGGAGATAAAATAATTCAAAGATTGCAGATTTGAATCGAAAAACACAAGTCTTTCGTAATATAGATACTTTATAATTGACACATTTTTTGAGAGAAAATTTTCTAATTAAAGTTTATTTAGAGCCGTTTTCTCAAGAAGTATTGTTTTACAAAATGTGCAGGACAGATAAATTTTAAAAGCTACTTGAGAAAATAGCCCTTAGTTTTGAAATTCTTCTATACATTAGGGAGTGCGGTAAAGTGGCGCTGAATATAAAAGTAGCAAATCAAAAGAAACATTATTACGCTATATTGTACAAACGGGTTATTGAACCGCTTCTTATTTATCGGCTATAACACTTTTGTATGCAAAACTTTTTTGAATTACACAAAAATTCGCATACATGTTTTCAAACGAAGCTGAATTTTTTGAAATAGAGCATGCTTATGGATTTTCAAAGCAAATATAGGAATTTTCCTAATTTTATGAATAGTAGAATGTGACATATCAGCGCTGAATAACAAAAATCGGCTGATTTGTGTAAAAATGTGAATCTCAATTTAACGATGCGCATGCAAAGATTCAATACGGCGCTAAATACAAACTCAGAATAGAATAATTAAATGCGATCTATATTTTTTATATTACTGTTGACTTCCAAATGGGGTGCAATAATTCTTGTAAAATAGCGCAGCAAAGAGCTGAATACACGGAAAACAACTTAGCTCAGGCAACTGACTACATTAAAGTTTAATATGGAGTTGCCATAAACAGCTACGTAAATACTATCAAAGGACCAAAAATATTTCGATTCTCACCTTATGTTGCACTGCGATGGCGCGCAAGTCTTTCAACCACGTTTGCTCTTCAAAATTCGGTAACTGACTGTTATTTAAATTTTCTTCGGCATTTTGCTGTTGATCATCGATTGAACGCTCCAACACTGGATCATAGTGTTTGAGGCGATCAGCAAATTGATAGATCTGCAAAGGAAAAGAAGAAAGTGAGAAGATAAAAGGGAAGAGATAAAAAGAATTTATAAGGGTCTAAAGCTTACTAGTTGCTTGAGAAAAGTTATAGAATCGAACATAAACTCACCTTATTGATAAAGCTTGGCTCATATTTGCTTGGATCGCGTTGTATATGTAGCGCTATTTGCTCGAAATACATTAAGCTACGTAAATGGTAGCCGTAATCCAACAAGCGTGTGGCCAGCAAATATTTATAAGGCTACAAAGAATTTAACAAAGTAGGATACAATTTGGTTATTACGTGTCTGCCAGTCTGTGACTTACCTGAAACTCGACTAGCGAGAATTTATCATCATTCAGCGAGCAAGCATACTCATAAATTTCGGTCATTATAATGGCTTCACTGGTTGCGAAATCGTTGAAAGTTTTATAATGAGACGAGCCAAGTAAAACGAGTCTGAAAATAGAAGTTGTTGAGATGGTTTATACCGAAAGAATGAACCCTTGGAACTTGAGCAAAGAAAATTCAAAGAGAAGAAAACTATGGAGAACGTGGGCAAAGCCATCTTAGCTTGATCAATTAAAAGTCCATTAGCGCAAGCTATTCTGAATCTAACACCACTCCCCACTCCACTTACTTTGGCAAATGCTGCTGCAGCGTGCTCTCCTGTGTGGCGCTCTCCTGATAGCGTCCGAATCCCACCTGTGCCATTAGATAGCAAAAGTGAGCGGCAAATAGGTCACCACGATTTAGCAACGAATCGCCGAGCGTTGTTATCGATTTACGATCCAATTCTGGCTTTTGTGACGTGTTCGACAGTATCATCGAAAGGTGTGGACGCCAATCGCCCCACTTCTCATCCTGCACGCTGGTCACACTCGACGGCTGGCGGCCGCTCATCAACTGATACAGTGTTTGCAATGGGTCGTTCAACTCCAACTTATTGGCGAACTTCATCATGACATTGGCATGCGAACGACGATCCACCTTGGAGGCGAGGAAGAGCGCATGACCCCAGAGATTGTTATCAGTGGCCCAATCGAGCGCCTCATTTACATTGCCATAGAGCAAATAGTTGCGGAACTTTTCGGTTATCTCAGTTTCGCTCAGAGCTGGTGGAGTCGTGAGTGTGGTAGTGGATTTTGGTGCGCCATCTACATGAGTTGCTGTAGCATGTTCTGTGTTTTCGTGTGCAGTGGGCGACTCAGTTTCTAGTGCGGCAGCCTCTCCCGATTCCTCCTCATCGCCACTAAGCGCAGACGAATTATCGTCAGTGTTTTCTGCTTGATATGGGAATTGTTGTTGATTTTTCAAAAGCAGCTCTGCTATATCTGTGCCAACGACCATCTGTGTAAATGCGATAAAAGAGAATAGATTAAATATGTGATAATATTTCTGCGCTACCCTAAACCACTTACGCCATTTTGACGCAGCAACAAAATTAGCAAATTCCACATCAGCGTGTATGAGCCACGATATTTCTCGATATTATTGCACAACAGCTGCTTGGCATAGATTGTGGTCTCCATTGGACCCAAACGTATCTGCTCCTCGCAGAATTCAATAATTGTTTTCTTGTGTGTAAGGCCACGTACCAACGGACCAGGATAGGCCTGGAAGAGTTGACGTGTCGCATCGTTGGCGCCCAAGCGTTGCAATTTCACAATATTGCTGATGGCGCCATGCGAGGTGTACTTCGGCTTAACGGTGACGAGTATGCCAGCCGACAGCGTAGCAATTGCATGTTCGTTGACGAATTTACGTGGTGTCAAACGTTGTGGATCGGGTTCGGCGATGGCATCAACATCGCGCAATGATACATGACCCGATCTAAAAAGGTGTAGGGAGATTAGGAGTTAGTAAATTGTTGAATGTGTAGTAAATTCATGAAAAAAAGTAAACATTATGCACGATAAGACTTAAAAGTAAGAGAAGAATAAATAAATTAAAGTATATTTTAAGCAGTAAAAAAAAACATTGTAAATAAGTATTTTAAAAGTAGAAAACTTAAATTAAGATTTGTAAGGCTGCACATGCGCATAGTAAATAAGTTGAAATTGCCCTGAAAACATGCATTTTAAAAAGAGATAAAAAACAAATTTATATCGAAAATCTTAACGTTATTGTAGTATTCTAGAGTCAGGATACAAAATTCATAAAATAAGATATGATTTACATAATTTTTACTACAAACAGTAAATTAAAAAATATGTTTCTCAAATACATATGTATATAAATTTGTGGCAATGTCGCCTCTTATGGTCAAAAAGTACACCTTTATATAGTGTGGAAGTAAATTACTAACGATTCAAGCAACAAAAAATTACATTATTGCCACCTGTAGAAAAAGAGTTAAAGTTTAGTAAAACTTATTTGGCTTCGTTGAGTGGCAAAAGGTGAATGCGTTACATTTTTTCTGAATAAATTCGGTGTTGCCACCCAATATTTTAACTACAACAATTTAATAATTACTCAGACGAGAAATAAACTTGTTCGCACTAAAGTGTACAGGGATGCCACCTGTTTTTTTGTAAATTGAACTTCGCATTAAACTTTTAACGCAATACAATTTTTCGAGAAATTATGGCATTATGGCTACATGATTTTTCGAATGGCTTGGCACCGCACAGCATGGACAATGAAATTAAGCAGCTCTGGAGTTTTCGCGAGAAAGATTCTGCGAAATATTTACGAGTCTTTGCGCGATGACTAATACCGCAGACGATTTAACGATGAGCTGTATGAGCTTTACAACGACATAGAGTGCAGAAAATTAAAATTTAACGGCTCCGCTGGCTAGGTCATGTCGTTCGAATGGACAGAAAGGCTCCAGCTCTGAAAGTATTCAACGCGGGTCCCGATGCTGGTAAAAGAGGAAGAGGAAGACCTCGCTTGCGTTGGAAAGACTAGGTGGAAAAGGACTTGGCTTCACTTGGCATTTGCAATTGGCGTCAGTTGGCGGAGCAAACCAAAGTTATAACCATTTTTTTAAGAGCTTAAGAATTTTTTCTTTTGATCACAAAAGTTATGCCACCTATTTTTAACAGAAAACATTATGGTTTAGCGGTTTAGCAAAACTTTTAGCTTCGAAAATAAGTTGATGTTTAGAAATTGTATCACAATAACCGAGTTTCAACTCAATAACTTTTTTTTCACAACATTTTTTTCATATTTTTTGCCAGTTGAGCTTTTATTTTTAATCTGTTTATTTTCGAAAAAGGTAATAAATTTAAATAAAAAAATACCGAACTCTTTTAGCTTCATTTTAGTGAAAAATATTGATTTTTTAAAATGTTGCAATGTTGCCACCTATTTCTTCAAATATATTTTGTAGGTATCTAAGAAATGTGTTGGCTTGGGCGCAGGGTTGCCACCAAATTTTAATAAAAAACGAAATCTGCTGTTACCCGAAACTGTGAGTAGCTCTGAGACTTAATTATCCTATGAAGAAAATGCATTCAACTAAATTTAGGGCGAATCTTTTATTTTAACTGCTTTTAATACATATAAAAGCNTTGTTACCCGAAACTGTGAGTAGCTCTGAGACTTAATTATCCTATGAAGAAAATGCATTCAACCAAATTTAGGGCGAATCTTTTATTTTAACTGCTTTTAATACATATAAAAGCAAATTTTTTACTGTGTAAAAGGGCTTTTGAATGAAAAATTAAGATTCAAGAATTATTCCCCGTTTGCTAGGGCATGATTTCATTTTTTTTTCATTAAAACTAACAATTCAGCAGTTTGCTCATTTTTTTTTTTTTTTTTGTTTTTGCTCATTTAAAATAAATTCATTTCGCATCCGATTCGTTATCTTGAAATTTTTTCGGTGAAATGGCGGCTAGTCTTTGCATTATTTATTTGAAATGTTGAAAAATATCTTACGNATATATAGCATTTTGCTCATTTAAAATAAATTCATTTCGCATCCGATTCGTTATCTTGAAATTTTTTCGGTGAAATGGCGGCTAGTCTTTGCATTATTTATTTGAAATGTTGAAAAATATCTTACGGGAGGTACAATACAACAATAAGCCTTATGGTATGTTTTTTATGAATACCCTTACTACCTACAAAATTAATTAATATTCAAGTTCTGAAAGCGCGGACGTTTCTTTGCCGAATTAGCTTTTTTTTCTTTACATATAAATATTATATACATGTTTTCTATATAACTATTTTTGCCTATAAGCTATTAAAAAAACACATGCATTACTAGCTGTTTTTGGAATGAAAATAATTTAAACGTCATATTTAAAGAGAAGTGTCCAACATTCACTTATGAAGGTATTTATTTACAAAAGATGAGTTATGTTTTATTCGATGGCGAGACATGAAAAAGTTTGCAGATGTATGTCTGTATGTAGATCGTTAAGAAAAACGTATTTTATACATATGTAAGTACATGCAACTCAATCAAAATTATTGGAAATTATATTTGCCGTATCACACGTTCCCTATTGCCGATACAAAATGAAGGACACCGGAGCGTGGGAAACAGCACTGAGGGTATTCTCCTAAACTGGAAAATTTGGTAAACATCAATAGTGTAAAAAATTTTTAAATGTGTATGCAAGTTACTTTTATGTTTTGATTTTCTTAATTTTTTGAGTTACAGGAAGTTCTTCAAATGAGACAATGAGTCGATGGAGAGCCATAAATTTCAGTTTCGAGTATTCCTAAACTTGGAGCATTCTGGCGGACTTCAAAAAGACAAATTAAAAAATAACTAACATAAATTTGGTTAAGAACAAAAAAGAAAGATTGTAAGTGAACTAACCATTTATAATAAGGGTGTATTCGCGAAATTCATAAAATGTCAGAATTGCTAAGAATATAAAAAAAAATATTCAATATTAGAATCAAATTTAAAGGTAAATTCAATGCCGAAACTTGGACGCCTTGAAAAGTGACTAACTACAAATTCTTGAATACACCTTTTGGCAAATACCAAACGTCTTAACAATTTAGTAGCCCTATTTTGTTTTACGTTTTTCCACCTTTCTAACATCGATTGTATTGTATGTATGTATGTTTGTATAGCAAATAATGAAGACCAAAGAGTAGAAAGAAGATCGGGAAATACAAGAAAAATATCTCAATATCCTTAGGAAATAAATATGTATGGCAGGCAAAAATTTTTACTAAATTTTCCAATAACTTCAGAGTAAAGAAAATGTTTTCCCATTAATAGAGTAAAATATTACATTTTAAATAGCAACTGCATAAAAGAGGAAAATACGAACATCAAATAGACCCAGCGTTTATGTACTACATAGATAACGATGTACATATGTGAGTATAAATATAGACCTTTAGTAGATATATTTTCATATCACAGACAATACGAAAATCGACGTCCATATTTTCATATTGTTAATATATTTGTAAGTATATAGACATATATAGATAATTTGGATAAATTTATGTAAGTATAGACTATTTTGATCCCAAATAAGTATAGATATAAACTACTCATACATTCAACACAGAAATTTCGCCAAATTAAGTAATGGAAAAATGATTTAAAAAATTTTACCAATTGTCCTATATGTAAGCATGTACATACATACATACACACAAATACAGTATTGGCCAATACAATAGCAGCCTCATTTCAAAGTGATATGGTTTGCCACTCATGTTTATTTATTTATTTTTAAGAATTTTCAATTAAAATAAAGTTCATTCTTTGTTGCGGGTTTCTTCCATATAACAATAAATTGGGTTTTATTCGAAGCAAATGCGAGAAAAGAATTCTAAAAAATCAACGGAAATTTTTAGCCCCTTTAAACTTGCACATCATCGGACTATAAAACTGTGTACTTGAAAAAATTCTAACACTTCCGAGAAAAAGTTTGAAATTTTGGTAAAAATTTTTTGCGTTTTTTTGTAGTCTTTTAAAAAGTTTTAAACTTGGTTTTATATGAGTTTTGTTAGAGAATGAACTGTGTTTTAATTGAAAATAAATAATTAAACACAGGTGGAAAACAATATCGCTTTGAAATGGGGGTGCTATAGATATATCCAATACTGTATGTATGTACTTATATATATCAAATATCAAATATGCACATAGGTAATGTGACTATAGCTAATTAGAAGTAATTACCGAAGCAAAATATTTTGTATAAGCCAATTTAGATCAACCAACAGCAAAAAATATACATATGTATGATTGGGAGTATTCACAGTGCCAGCATATATTTTTGATGAGATCGCAAAGCAAGCAAACAAGCAAAGGAGATACTAAAAGGAGTACACGAATTCAAAAGAAAAAATGCCTTCTTAGACTTCGAAAAGTCGAGGGTGAAAATGAAGCTCTATTGAAGGAGTTTATATGAAGCTAAGATAATCGATACGTATGGCAATGAAACTGCATATTAAGCCAAAAATCAAATGAAGAATGAGATGAAATAGAGAAAGAGATTAAGCGAAAATAAAACTAAAGTTATAGGCTCAATGCTCAATGCACGTTTTGAGAACTGTCAAAACGTTTTTTGAACTTCAATAAAATGTATGAAAGTTGGCCGAGTATCAGCTTTGCTTCACTTGCTTGAATCACGATAAAGTTTCGAATAGCCGAAATCTCTTTTTGACAACGCTATTTGGCATTGGGCAAATTGCTACAAAACTGTCTTAGACTTTTCAAGAACACATTTGGACAAATAAGCTATTAAAGTAAATCAAAGCAAACTGAAGTAGGCACGTCGAGCAAAGCAAGCCTGCATAGGGCCAGCATCTTAATAGTGAAGGCAGTGGTAAATTTAGATAGCATACTTCTTGTGTACCCAAGTTATTATACCGGTCGCTTACTGTAATCGAAAATGTTTAATGGTGAAAGATCTAAAAAACGTTGTAAATCGTGGTCTTTTATTGCAAATAGAACAAATTAGGCATCTTCTTCTGTATCTTTCTTTTTCTCCATCCCTTCAGCTCCTCTTTTTCTCTTTTACTGCGTATGAGAGTATGAGAAAGTTGTACTCACTTTTGGTTTTTCCTACTTCCCACTTTTTTCTATTTATCTGTTTTTCTCTTTCCACTATTTTACTCGTTTTTCCTTTTAGCTATTTTCTTATTTCTGCAATTTTGATTAAATTTCTCACTAAGTAAGTAACCATTATTACCTTGTTATATCATTCTGGTTTTACCTTTTGTTTGTTGTACTATAAAAGATCTCAGATCTTACAACAAAGAACAAAGGTGCCGCTCATCTCGTACAGCAGCTTGATTACGTTTTTCTTACAAAATTACTTCTTCTTCTTCGTTTCTTGCTCGCGTTTTGACATTTATCTCTCGCAATTGCACCAGTGTGAAGTCACACAAAAATTATTCTCAAAAATCTTCTGTGATGCGCTCAATCTTTTACTCTATCATTCTTGCATACCATCTACATATTATTCTGCCACTCTCCTGCTCTCTCTCTTCTTTTCTCTACCCTTCGATCTTCCTCTTTGTTACCACTGTTTAATTCCTTCTCCTTTTCTCTCTACTTCTTCTATCTCTGTCTTCCCTTTCCTATCACAATAGGGGTATTCTCTGAGTCTTGCAAAGCCCTTGCACGGTGCACGGATTGCACGGTTTGCAAAGCTGTTTTTACCGTGCAATCCGTGCAATCTGTGCACCATGCAAGGGCTTTGCAAGACTCAGAGAATACCCCTAATAAATATTTCTATTCCTCCAATATAATTTTCTCTTTCCGTATTCTTCTCGCTCTAACTTTGGACAATATAATTACTACGGAATCAATTCTACATCTTTTACCACTCAAACTAGTTTCCGTACACTGTGAATACCCCTTCAGTTAACGAGCAAACTAACGCATTCGAAAATACATATGCATGTAGAGTAAGAAATTTCGTATCTAACAGCTTCGACTAGCAAAACAAAATTAAAAAATAGTAGTAGAGGTAGTAAAGTTGTTGCTTGGCAGCACCTGGACTCCGCGTAGTCAGAACGCGCGTAGTAGGCTCCACCAACGCCAGCATAATAAGCCGTTAAACCACCGTTGCCACTGTGACCACCGATGCCGATACCGATACCGCTGCCAATTTGGGATAAATTGCTGGTGGAACGTGCAGCGCGTAAATCCTCACCAGCAGCGCCATACAAGCTGGGCATGCCATCATCGAGCATTGTTGAATTGAGCGACATATTTATGTGTTGTTGATTGAAAATCATGTGGTGCTGTTGCTGTTGTTGTTGCTGCTGCTGTTGGTGGTGCGATTGCAGATGGCGCTGTTGCAAATGACGATGATATTCATTGGCTTGTGAAATGTAAGCATGTGTATACCTGTATAGTTGAGGAAGTGATTGATTGATGATTTTCAATGCATATTGTACAAATAATTACAACAATTTGTCTGCTAGGATCAATCATTTTTTTTCAAAAGTGGTTAACACCACTTTTTTTTAATTTAATTTTCTTGTTATGAAAACTTTGCTAATTTCGTTTACATAGGTAAGACAAGCACATTTTGGGTTTATTTATGATTTAGTAAAATTTAGGGGTGTTTATCAGTCAAAGTAAATTTAGGTATTAGCCACACACACACATACATACATACCAACAACACTACGTTATTGACAGGGTTGANTGGGTGTTTATCAGTCAAAGTAAATTTAGGTATTAGCCACACACACATACATACATACCAACAACACTACGTTATTGACAGGGTTGATGCAAAGATACTTTTCATTTTTTTCGTTTGCTACAAATTGGAAATTTTTAACGATTTTTATTTTAATCTACGATCTACAATTTCTTTTAATAATCTTGCCCGGAAGCCGACTTTTTAGCATCGCTTTTGATACTGCATTTCTTCACAATGTCGTTGCTCCTTTGAGAAGTTCCTTTCATTTGTACTAGTTATTTTAATTTTACATTAGAATTCTAATAGTAGTTCTGGAATCAGCAATCAGATTAGATAACTATTAAAAATTGTTTTTCTAAATTTTGAGCGATATGTAGTATTTTGCGTCGTAAATCCCCCACTTTCTAAAATTTACAGTTCTCTCATTCCGAGTTTGGAAAAATAAAAATCGCGAGTTTAATTCTTAGTTCAAAGCAATGCTCTCTGCTCTCTTTAATACTCAATTTAATTCAAGAACCAACAAAATATTGGTCATTTGTAGCAAACGAAAAAAGTCTACCTTTCGTTACACTGTAACAGTTGATAGTAATGAAGTGTAGATGCTGCTAAAAACGGACAGTGAAGTAGTAAGGGGGTGAAATTATGTCTATTTGTAGGTTAACTTTTTAAAAATTCATTATTAATTGACTTTTAACTGTGGGTGTTTAGTCATTTAGGGCTTATCACTTGACTTTACTTATTATTCGATATTTATTACCAGGGAACGGATTTTTAGGACCTAAAAGCCTATAAAAGGGGCAAAATAAAATGACGAAATAGGCAGGAAAAGGCTAAATAAAATAGCGAAAAAGGCAGGAAAAGGCACTAGATATTGCAAAAAAGGCAAAAAAAGGCAAAACAAAGTAGCGAAAAAGGCAGGAAAAGGCACTAGGTATTGCAAAAAAGCAAAATAAGGCACTAAAAAAGACAGAAAATACGAAGAACAATCAAAAAATACATTTATTTTAGAAATGTTAATATTACAAGTAAAAAGTGAAAAACTATGAACTAGTTTCATTATATGAAAAATTTGTACTTAGAATATTTGACTATTTTATCCTTTCGAGTTTCTAACTCATAAAACTTTAATTTGAAAAGTTGTAGTAACGTTGAACCACAAGATGCATTTTGAAGTTTTCTGGCAGCATTTTCATTCGATTTTCGCGAAGAAAAGCCTTGAATGTACTAAATGTGCGCTCGACGTAAGTTGATACAAGTGGAGCCCAATTTAAATATGGAACGTTTGAAACGTTCATATTATCAGGAATAAGGGCGTTTTCCTCGCCCTTTACAATTTTATCCACACCCCTTATTGTCTTCAAGCCTACGTTAGCTGAGAAAACGGCTTTGAATTTTTTCAACACCAATTTGGCAAGAGGTCCCTGCGCTTCTATAAGCCGCATGGGCATGTGTATATTTTTTAATCTTAAAAAAAAATTGTAAATGCTATAATCACTTTTTTAAAGGTAGAAAAGGCAAAAAAAGGCAAATATCTTAAAAAAGGCAAAAAAAAGGCAAATATCTTAAAAAAGGAAAAAAAAAGGCAACATCAAATGTGTATATATGGAATCAGGGAAAGCTAAATCGTGGACATTCTTAATCGAATATACTCTATCTCTTTAGCAGAAAAAAAGGCAATTTCCATAAAATCCGTTCCCTGTTTATTACATTAAGGACACTATTCGAAGGTGTTATTATTTAGCTAGAATAAGCAAACATTTTATAAATATTATTGGGCAAAAAGTTCATTTAGTCTGTAGACATTGTTAACAATACTAATTTAAGTACTTTTTATTTAAAATTGTTAAGCAGGAGCAAAGTAAATTGCAAAAACTTAAAACATTAAAAAAAAGAAAATAATAAGTATTAAAACAAGTAAAAAATTATATATAAAATACTATAGTAGGTATATAAACTGTCAACATATATATGTATGTACGGTATTTGCTATCTTGTAAAATAACGGTAGATAACAACGCCAAACGTCTGCTAATCAAAGCTATACATCCTATCTAATTTAAGCTTTTGTAATAATGAAAAGATTTTTCACATTCTTATCAAAAAATAAATTTAGCGCTAGCTGGGATTTTAGCTATTATCAATATAATTAAATTGCTTCCCTATCGCTTGCGATGTAGAAAGATAAATGTTGCCCGACTTGGTGCTTATGTAAATACATACATATGTACATATATGTTTGTAAATGTACTTCACTTTAATCAAAAAGGCATAAAAGAAGAAAAGTAATATAAAATTTGGCTATTTTTTGGAAAAAAATTCGTTTTTTTTACTTTTACCGTTCTTGCGAAAGCTTTTTTTCTTCACATTTGTTTATTATCCTTAATTTTTTAATAAAAAAATCAAGTTTTTAAATTATTATTTTTTTCATTTACGCGTACATTTTTTTCTTTTATTTTCTTTTTAAACTTAAACTTTTGATTTTTTTATTTACTCGCACATTTTTTTTTTATTTTCTTAATTTTTTTACTTATCTATACTAATTATATAAGGAGAAGTCCCTTTTTTGTAACAGGTAATCTCGCGAATGGCAGGCCCGATTTTCATTAAATTTTGTATATGAAATGCTTTCAGCAACCACCATGTCCACGATTTGCTTGAAATTTGGTACGTAGGTAGCTTTTTGCACAGATTAGCACAAAGCATCCTTTTGTTCCGGTAAGAGGACTAGGGAATGATCTATTAAAATCTTCTTTATGGTCCGATTTGCTTGAAATTTGCGAAAAAAAAATTGCTCGCCAGGTGGCTCTGGATTCGATTTATTACTAAAAATCGAATTTGCGATCCGATTTTCCTCATAATCGGTAGGGGCAATACTGTTGCAAAAGGAGCTGCAAGGTGGCTCAAACGCCATGTTTCAATAAAACACTAAATTTTGGGCGGGACGAAGTTCGCCGGGTCTGCTGGTGTGCATATACTCAAATAAATTATCATGTGTTAATTTTTTTTTAATATTCGTAATGTTTTTCGAGATAAATTCATTTGTTATTTTTCTATACAAATATTTACCGCCCAACCTTTACTCAAAACCATATAAATCACAATTTCAACCTTTATACAAAATTTAGGAAAATTCAACAAACTTTCATCGAAATTTCAACTTTTTAATCTGAATCTTTAGAACATATTTGGTTGGTTGTGCAGTTGTATAGCCCAAAAAATTGTAGTCTAATGGGGTGCAAGCTTCAAATGGCTGAAAAATCCCATTGATTTTTGAGATTTTTTTTTTTGGTGACAGATTTTTGCACTTTTTTCCATATAAGCATGAATAAAAGGCGAGGAGACCGTTAGCAACAAAATTTCAAAAAATCAACGGCAGTTTTTGTAAATTGCACTTAAAAAAAAAAAGCAAAAGCAGTCTCCAAAAAAAATCTCAAAAATCATATTGAAAATTTGAGGAAAATTTGTTGAATTTTTATAAATTTTGTATAAAATTTGAAACTATTTTTGGTTGAAGATTGGGCGGTATTTTTACAGAAAAATAACAATAACAAGTTAGCTCAAAAAACCTTACTAATATTTAAAAAAAAATCAACACGTGGTCATTTGATTGAGTCACTGTATATCACATATATTTTTTGGTTATTTATATATTTTTCATTTTTGCTTTATTTCTTATTTTTATTTTATTACATATTTTTATTCTTTATTTTTTATATATTATTAATTTCATATTTTATTTTTTTACTTTTTATTTGTCATTACTTTTATTATTATTTATTATTTGTTGCTATTTTTATAATGTTTTATTATTTTCTGTTTGTTATTGGTTTTGTACTTAATATTTTTTTATTTTTTGATATTTTTTAAATAGATTTTATTTTATTTTTTGGTTCTTACATACTTTTCATATACATAGGTATGTATTATTTGGCACGATTTTTTTTTTTTATTATTTATTTCATTTATGTATTTTTTATTGTATTTCAATTTTATTTTTTATAATTTTCTTTTTTATTTTTCTATTTTTATTGGTTTTGAACTTTATATATTTTTTTAGTTTTTTTTATATTTTAACATTTTTTATTATGTTTCAAATATTTTTTATTTTTTTATTTATTTTTTTTTTAAGTTTTGCTATTGTTGTAAACTAAAACTGGAAGGGCCGCAAGGGCGCGGAAATTTGTATCAACTATCTACGAAAACCTTCTTTGTATTCTAAATTTATGTCGAGACTATTTAGTATTTTTGAACACTGGGGATACAGGGGATGATGCCAAAACTCTTCTATTAGGTAATTTTGAAAACCAAAAAGGTAAAACTAGTAAAAAATTAAAACAAAAAAGCAAGTAAAGAATGAAGAAAAATCATGTAGTAGAAAAATATTAGAAGGGTTGATTAAACAATCGCTACTTAGGTGGTTCTCATACGAAATTCATACTCGAGTTAAGCTACTTCTCAGTACATATTTACATTTTCAAGGCAAAGCGTAACAAAAAGTAAAATCAACACTAAATAAAATCAATACTAAATAATTTCCGAACTGAACTCAATTCGAACTAAAATTTAAAATTAAAATAAACTCAAAACAAGAGAAATTATGAACAAAAACCGAAAGTAATATAAAGCATTTTCGACCTTTCAGCCAACTTACCGATCCTTATCATTTTGAACCGAACTGCGTCCCGAATGTACTGACTCGCGTCCGTCGGCCGTAGCCGCCGCCAACGAGCTACTATTTAAGCTGGCGTGATCACCACCAGCCGCAGCATGCGCGCCTAACCCTGACGCAGTAGTGTTGGCAGCCATAGCGTGGCCATAATACTTCTTGTACCACTCCGAGTATGCCTGCGGATTGGTGCGCGCCATTTGCTCATAATAATAGGAGGTGTAAGGATCATAACCAAACGCTCCCGGGGGATAACCGTACATCGCGGCATGTCGTGGATCGTAGCGTACGCCACGCTCTTTTTCCAAATCACTTTCGCGTGCATTACGCGAACTCTGTTTGCGGTACTCTTCATATTCCCGTGCATCGCCGCGCTCACCACGTTCAGCACGCGTTGGCTTTTCACCACCACCAGCGCGATGCCGGCGCTCGATTGTGTCATTATCACCACCACGTTCGCGTCGTGCGCGTCTCTGCTCACGGCGTTCCTCATCTACATAGTTGCTGCGGCGTGCATCGCGTCCATCGTCGATACCCTTCTCTCCAACGCGTTTGTTTGAGCCACGTTGGCGGCGATTATAGTCATCATAGTCGCGTTCACTACGATCACTACGGCCTGCGCGCTCTTCATTGTGATGACGCGCGCCGCTGCGACGCGCCAGCTCTTTGCGCCGACTGGACACATCGTCGGCATCTTCTTCATACTGCCGACTGTGACGCACGCTGCGACGCACTGTATCTGATTTACCACTTTCACGGCCATAATACTTTTCGCGCAATTTTTCACGTTCGCCAGCGCCACGCTCGTCGCGCTTTTCGCCACGTTCGCCAGCGCGGCGCCGCTTATCCTTCGCATACTCACGCTCCTCGCGTTCACGATCGCTGCGCACGCTACCTTCACGATAACCGCGTCGACGCTCACGCTCTCGTTCGCGCTCGCGTTCACGATCACTTGAATAGGGTTCAGACTCATCGAGCTCGAGATCATCGCTTTCATAACGATCGACAGAACTGCGATGCTTGTCGCGCCGCTGTTGTTGATGACGATCCAGAACCTTGCGATCCAATTCGCCGATCGAGTGCTTGCGTGACTTGTTGCTGCCTAAGTAGCGCGTGGCGTGATGGTGATGCTCGGCCACCGGATCGCTCTCATCGTTGCCAGTGGAAGCATTGGAGAGATCCTTCGATTTCGACGACTGGTGATGCTGAGCGTGATGTTGATGCACATCATGATCGTCAGTGGCTGATGGTGCAAGTGGCTCAGCGGTGGCAGCAGCGCCCTCCAAAGGTGGCTCGTCACGGCTGTTCACAGTGAGAAGGGGAGGGGGCAGCTGATTCTGCTGATGCTGATGCTGCTGCTGCTGCTGTAGCAGCAGTTGTTGTTGCTCTTGCTGTTGGTCTTCCAAATTTTCGCCGTCAAGTTCGATTTCGCGCTGTCCGCTGGCGATTTGAGATGGTGGCGCTGGTGCATTGCCCTCAGGTGACCTTTCCACGCCCGTAACAACACGTTGCTCGTTGTTAACATTGCTTTCGCCGGGCACCAAATACAAATTACGGTCTGTGGTAATATCGATAGTGTTGCTGTTGTTCACGGAGGCAGCGGCAGGAGCTGTGAAAGAGAATTAATTAGTTTTTTAGCAAGCACAAATCTTGAAAATATGGTCTTCTCACCTCCCAAATTGCCGCCATTCCCTATGTTAACGCGCTGGGAGGCATTCAGCAGCGTTGTTGCTTGCGCTTGCTCCAGCGATGTGTCCTCGCCATCGGCATGACGTTCATCCATATGCATATTTGCCGGCTCTTCGGTACCAGTAACCATGCGCTGCGATGCTTCCAACAGCTCTGGCTGCCCCAGCACGAGGCGCGAGAGCCCCGGTGGTGGCAAGCTGTCTGCTTCCAAATTGAGCTCTTCATCGGGGTTCTCCGACAGCGGACTAGTCTGCAAATATTGATTGCGCTCATCGTTGGGCGGCGGTGGTGGCGGTAAAGATGCTTGTGTAACGGTTGCAGCTGCTGTTGTGCCAAGTAGTGTGATCGCTGTTGGCGGCGATGACACTGCCGCACCTAAGACTTCCTGATTTTCATGTAAAATTTCAGAATTGTCGGGCTCCAAGTGATTGAGTAGCGGATTGGCAAAATCAGCAGGGGGTGGTGGCACCGCAAAGGCCGTAGCAACAGCCGAAGACAGTTGTGGCACTACTGGAGGTTGCGCAGCACTGCTTGTAGCCAGCAGACCAGCGCGATGATGCTGTGCAGCGCCAGCACGCTTGAAAGGGTTGCTAGCTGCAGCGGCGCCAGCGCCAGGTGGTGGTGGCAAACTGCTCGGGGGAGTCATAGCGGGTGGTGGCAGGTTTTGCAGCGGCAGATTTGGCGCGCTGTTAGTAACAGGTGCCACAGACGGCGGATTAGATTCCAGCTGTGTTGCTGAAATTTCATTTTGGAATGCCTGAGGTGGTGCCAAGGCATTTTCCAATGGCTCAGTTGTAGGACTGGCAACGCCGGGTGGTGAAGCGTACTGCCGTGAAGGACGTGAAACCGGTTTAGCTTGTGACACGTAAACGGAATTCGGAATGTTGCTGTTAGTTGTGACGCTCACACTGCTGACGGTCGATGAGGGTGCGGAAGCGATAAAGTTGGGGGCCATTGGTAGCGCGCTGGTGTTATAGTTTTCATTGGTCGCCTTGGTGAGTCGGAGCGAAGTAGGTTTGACTGCGGATAATGAAAAATATAAAATTGAAATTATTTAGAATAGACAAAGTTATTTTCAAAGCACAAAAATAATAGCCTATTAAAATCTATAATTAATGTAATATGGAATTTTGTTTAAAATTAAGTCAGATGCTGTAAGAATACTATTTTCTGTAGACTAACAAGAATTAAATAAATAAATATTCTCAAAGGAGTTAGCGACAAATGTCGTGCTGCTATCGTAACTTTGCGACATTTAAAGCACACGGCGGCGAATTGCGTTTAAAAACAGCGCCCCAGTTATTTATGGTTAAGTAGTTTTTAACGATATAACGGCTTGTTTGAACCGTATTTAAGATTTCCGCTAACAGCCTACTGAGTACTTACCCAAAATATTTGCTGCTACTGCCTTCACGCCACTAGCATCTGTACCAGCAAATTCTGCCGCTTGCTGCTGCGGCACTTGAATGCTGCTTGCAACTTGTCGGGGCACTTGTGACGCTTGACGATTATTTGTTGTAGTGTTAGTTGGCACTTGAGGTGGTTGTAGTGTTGTTGACTGCTTTTCAACGCCTACAGTGTTGGCATTCGCATTTACATCATCACTTAGATTCCAATTCCAGTTATCGTTTGACGATTGTGTACCAAAACTGTCCTCAATTACACTTGTAGTTGTATAATTGGTCGATTGCTGTTCGAACGAATGTTGTTGTTGTGGTGGATGCTGCACGGGCTTATGAATCGGTAACTGCATTGGTTGCTTTTGCTGCTTGCCAGCTGGCACCTGCTCAGCGTCACCACCAATCACATTACCATTATCATTCCAATCCCAGTCGCCCCAGCCTTCGCTTTTAGTCGCATTATTGTTATCGAATATATCAGCGGCTGATTGTGCTGGCTGCTGCTGTTGATATTGTGGCTGCGACTGAAAAAAATTTGCTGCGTCATGAGCTACTTGCTGCTGTTGCGGCTGCTGTGGCGGTTGTGGATACGTCGGCTGCTGTACAGTTGACAGCGGTGGCTGCGGCGGCTGCTGCTGAGTCATTTGATTTGATGTGAAATAATTGTCGTAAGTTGTTTGGTGTATATATTGTGGTTGCTGCTGCTGTGGCACATTATTTGCAACATCGGCTGGCGGCAAATCTGGCGGTTGCCAGATATTATGCGTAACATTGGTATGCGGTTGCTGCGCGGCATATAAGTTGTTGGTATGCGGCTGTTGTTGTTGTTGCTGTTGTTGTTGCTGTTGTTGCTGCTGTAGCGGTTGCTGTTGGTGTGGCCAATTAGTGTTAGCAGTGGCTGCATTAGCTGGCAACATTTTATTTGGCTGCACGTAAGTTGGTTGCTGCCAGGCGGCAGAAGCTGGTGTAGGCTGTTGCTGAAAAAAAGAGAGAAAAAACTGGTTTTATAGACATGTTTATGGAGACTATCTAAGCCCAGAATGTAATATAAAAAACACGCATTAAATTTGCAAAAATTTGGATTTCGAGAGTCAAGCTCAAAATATGTATAGGTAACTGAGGATAGAAGCGTGTAGAATTAAAAAATATTGTTTT